TAGCTAAATACCTGAAACTGGGGAGTTTATAAAGAGGTTTATCTGACACAATCCCTGTGTCTTAGTCAGTTTAGTGTTGCTGTAGCTGAATACCTGAGACTGGGGAGTTTATAAAGAGGTTTATTTGATGACTGGAAGGTTCAAGATTGGGCAACTGCATCTAGTGAGAGCTTTAGGCTGCTTCAACTCATGGTGGAAAGCAGAAGGGGAGCAGCGGGGAGTGGCATGTGGTGCGAGGAGATCACATGGCAGGGGAGGATGCAAGAAAGAGAAACCGAGGAAGTCAGAGTCTTTAAAACAACCCACCCTCTTGGATGGTATTGTTGACCCTTGAACAACTTGGGGATTGGGGTGCCGACCCCCCCCCTTACAGTAAAAAATCCACATAAAACCTTTGACTCCGCCAAAATCTTAACTACTGGTAGCCTGTCATTGACTGGAAGTCTTACCAATAACATAAACAGTTGATTAACACATATTTTGTGTGTCATATGTGCCATATACTGTATTCTTACAATAAACTAGGGAAAAGAAAATGTTATGAAGAAAATTATAAGGAAGAGAAAATATACTTACTGTTCGTTAAGTGGATCATCATAAAGGTTTTCATGTTTGTCATATTTGTGTTGAGCAGACTGAGGAAGGAAGAGGAAGTTAGTCTTGCAGTCTCTGGTGGCACAGGTGCAAGAAAACCTTTGTCTAAGTGGACTCATGCAGTCCAAACACATGTTGTGAAAGGGTCAACTGTAATTCATTCCTGGGAGAGCAAGAACTCACCTCCCTCGGAGGGCTTTAATCTATTCATGGGGATTCTCCCCCATGCCCAAGACACTTCCCACTAGGCCTCACCTCCCAACACTGCCACATTGGGGATCAAGTTTTAACATGAATTTTGGTGGAGGCAAACCACATTCAAACCATAGCACCTTGGAAAAACAAAATAAATGGAAATGCTTGTTCATGTTTATATGCCTATATATAGCCCCAGTTCCTATACTGCCATGGCCAGGCTCAATTTTCAGGGTTAGGAATGTGAAACTTTTAATTAGTGAGTAGACAAGATTGGACATTGTGGTTGTGGGGAAGGGAAAGTAGAATCTGAAATTCAGTTCTTCTCAGATTTGAGCGTGCGACAGAATCATCTGGAGGGCTTACTAAAGCATAGATTGCTGGGCCCCACCCTGAGAATTCTTTATTAGGTCTAGTGTGAGACCACAGAAATCTTAAATATTTCTTTTTTTGTTGTTGTTTTGTTTTGTTTTGTTTTG